CAACTGCCTTTGGTGAGTGCTGAGATTCCATTGCGTTCTCCCCAAACAGCTGCACTTGCCATATTTGCCCTATACTGCCAATACTCACACACTCGCTGCAATCCGACCTGTGACAGTGATGCCAGCACCACCCGGCTTCAATTCAATCTTGGGATAGCCTCGCGGAGCTGTTCGGAACTGTTGGCAACCGATTTCTGCAGTCCCTAACATCGTCAAGCAGCAAGACTTCTAGCTTGCTGTGCGCGCAGCAGGAATTCCAATTCCAGAATCTTGAGAATGCAGCGTATCGTAGATGCCCAAAGATGAAGCCAGGAGAAAGACAGGGAGAAAGAGAGAAGAAAAATAATGGCAAGCAACAGGAACAAGGGAGACAGCGAGAGTCGAGTACAACTCCTGCTTTTCAGGCTTGCGAGGTTCATTGCTTTTTGGGCTTGCGTGAACAAAACCCAACTGCCCAGCCTGGAAGAGTAAAGTCCAAGCACAGCTCTGCCACTTTGCTGCTGTCCATGTCACGGATATTCACCAGCGATGAATATAACTGGCAGTCATGCACGAATTTGCGATTGACCAGCACGAAGGTCAAGAACAACTGTCCAGCGACGACTGCTCAAAACACCAAGGAAACTGGGCAAAATGTGGGGTTCAGGAACATCCATCAAGCCTCCACTACCCGCAAGACTCGGGGACCAATTCTGTACCACACAATCGAGAACCAACAATTAAGTAGTAACAGGTGCCACGCTAGTAGTAAGCTGAGCTTCTGCACGGTTCCCAGGCCTCAGGGTCTACTGCTCGCAGAGATTCTTGTGACAAGGGTGCGAGGCCTGGCCGTTCGTGTGTTCCAAGGGCTGTGACCAAGTTGGGGCACCAAGACCCAAACTTATAATGGAAGGGACTGTAAGGAAATGTAAAGAAAGCGCTCTTGCTGAAGGAAGGAATCTTCTCTTAGTAAGCAGCAAAGGAGTAATAAAATCAATTCGTGCTGGATTTTGGACCCATAGATTGGTACTTCACCATCCCGGATGAAATTGTGTGATTTGTTTGTCTTTAAGACCTTCATGTCCCGAGGGCTGCACCCAGCACGGATCTCCAAACTGCAGGATGCAGCCTTGCGTCATGCAAAGATATTCCAGCAGCTTGCAGCCCTAAACAGCAAAACCAAGACGTCTTTAAGTGTTTAAGGCTCACATTTATCTATACATATGTAGCTTCAGATTGATACATGAGCTTGAGCTTTACAGACTAGTTCCAACTCCCACCTGTTCAAGTGGAATACAAACACTGATGATGCCCCCCATCCGGCAGAACATCTCCACAGTTCTCCACTGTGACCCAAAAGAATCTCTCAAAACTCTTCCAGATTGACCCTTCAACCGTGAGCGCCTAAGAGATTTGAACAATTGAATTAAATTGATAATTCTGGTTGATCTTCGCGATGTCCTTTGTCTCGGCCCTCCCACTGGATGTCCACCAGGCGATTGTCTATGATGCACTTGGCCACGATCTGACCCAACAGCCTGTTTGAGGCCGCTCAACTGATTCTGATCCGAAGGGCCACTGGCACTGGGTACCATTTCCATTAGTGGATATGATGCAAGCGGTGACATGAATCCATATGCTATAACCCGGATCAACTAGAAACGCTTGGCATGAAAGCTCTCTCTTCGTGTGTGTGTGTGTGTGATCCTCGATTGTAGTGTCATGTACTCAATCATGTCGCCCAAAAGTTGCTCATGAATCAATGGCTGTGATGAAGCGTGAAAATGTTTGCGTCGGCCATTACCAAGAGATCAGGACCAACAAACATACCAGAGCAGGATTGATCTGGTGCTGATGTCCGTCCTGCCTAAATCTCTCCAGAATCTGTTGAGCAACCTGCCGTTGGCATGAAAGGCTGTGCTCCGATTTCAAGAACTGACCAAGTGTATGGTGGCCATCCAGTCTTCACCATCACGTCAACTCCTCGCTTTATGCGGTCGAGTCTTGCAGTGAGTCGGGAAGTGCTCAAACAGCTGCCTGGTCGTCAGCACTTCTCAGCCAGTTTGGATCCCAGGGTGCAGGGAAGAGCCTCAAAGAAACTGTTGGTCAGTGATATGTATCCTTCCACCCCACTTTCATGTCCATCTGCCAAGGCCTGTGCCGTTAAGGTCACTGCATGCTGTTCATCTATTTTGGCACCAAGTCTGCATGTAAGTCAGCCCCTCTATAATCCATCCAAGGAGCATTCCAGCAGGCACGTTCTGACGGAAAAGCGCCGGCGATGAGCTCCTGTTGCTGCTTGAAAGGTACGGCCAGTCTGTCTTTGCCCTTCAAGTTGTTCAGTGCAAAACCTTCCCGGGTTCTTTGCATTTTGTGTGTGTGCGCGCGCTTCAAAGCATGGAGGAAACTGCAGTGTCCAAGGCCTCAGATGTTCAGCCACTTGAGCGTAGAATTCCAAGGTGGGACCAGATCCAGTGCCCACCTGGCTATCACAATGTTGGAACTCAAAAACACTGGCGAGACTGGATACGCGGATTCGACACGAGCATTGCTTAAAGGCAGTTGACAATCACTACAATGCAAAGTTAGAACGCGCTTGGATGAAATCGGGGGAACCAAATTAGATCCATACTCGCCCATATTTCTTTGTATTCCATGATGTCGGACGGTGAGAATAAGGTTTACCTCCTGTGTTTGTGCAACACACTATTTCCACGGCCATGTCGCCTTCATGCTTCGTCTGAAGAGCAAAGGGTGATGCATCAAGAAACGAGAACTTAATCACAAAATATTCAGGCAGACTAAGGCTAAGACAGGATGACGGGGAACCATATGTCTCAAAAACAATCTTACCCAACCCGCACGCTGCCCGTTGGTGCCTCTCCAACATATTCAATCTCCAGCCTGAGGTACAGCCGCTTCATGCCGCTTCTAAGGCCTTCCTGGTCCTGTTTGCATTGGGCTGCCTGTTCGCCTGTTCATGTTCAGCTGTTCATTGCTGAAAGAGTCAATACTCTGATTGAAAATTGCAGGATGTATTTCAAAGCATGGCCTACCTGTACCATCTTTGGGCCTTTGCAAGGTAATCAGTGAAAACCAGTGCGACTGGGAAGTTCTCGCTATCTCACTGGGCAACCATGCAGCGCATTGCCAGAGGAGTAAAGGTTCATGACTTTCACCTCAGGAGAGAGGCAAAGTATTTCCTCTTCTCCACAAAGGTTTCGATGGTGGAAACCCCAAGGCCCTTTTCTTGCGGTCACAGACCACCCAAAGCAGTCCAGAGACAAATATATACGGCCCAAGTAGAAGTGACAGTGATGAAGAAGACAAAGTGTCCACAACACCCAATGGTCCTGGTCTTGCCCAACTCCAAGGCCCCCCACGGCACTCTCCAAAAGCCGTTGCCGCGAGATGCGAACCTGGCAACGCACTCTATCATCCTTGACCGTTGAAGCAACATCTCCAATGCTCAACATGCAAATTAGGGAGATCAAGTTTACAAGCCTGTGGGGAAATTGAAAACTGTCAGCAAATACACGCAAAAAACAAAGAGAGCACGCTCAAGGCAAATCCACAGCGCTTGCACGTATGGATGTCTTACTGCAATTCCACACAACATTGAAAACTCTCTCCAACTACCCATAGTAGGCCCTGGAGCAGATGCAGGGCCTTTCAAATCCAGGCCGGTGGTTGCTGGCGCAAAAAAAGAACACATTGTTCCTGGCCCAGCCTTTTGGCGTGGGACACTGGCGACACTCACCTCACTCTCCAACCTGGCAAGAGCCGGAGCACATTTGGAGATTGTAGAACCTCCATCCTAATATCGATGGCCTCCAACCTGAGAGCAATGGCCTCCAACCTAAGAGTGGCCTCCAACCTAACGGCGATGGCCTCCAACCTAATTAAGAGTGATGGCCTCCAACCTAAGAGCGATGGCCTCCATCCTAATATCGATGGCCTCCAACCTAAGAGCGATGGCCTCCAACCTAAGAGTGGCCTCCAACCTAACGGCCCTCCAACCTAAGAGCGATGGCCTCCATCCTAACTTGAGGCCGAGGGTATGTGACGAAAGCTAGCAGGGGTGCATCCGGACTGGTGGGACATCAAGCAGATTGAGGCAAATGCTCATGAGGTAAAACGTTGTGAACATGTCAGACACACAAACAGCAATGACACAGCCAACCTTAGAATTGAAGTTCCCGATAATTAAGGAAGCGTGGCTGGACTTTGCCGCACTATTCGATGCATCCGATGTGTTTACGAACCTGTGAGCTTGTTGAATCTGTTGCACCATATCCCAAAACCTCCACGGAGGAGTTGAACCATAAGAGGTGCCCAAGAGGTGTCCCAGAGGCAAAACAAAGCTGCTTGCATGATTTACTTGGTTTCTTCTATCAATGTCGATGTCATGAACCTGTGAGCTTGTTGAATCTGTTGCACCGTATCCCGGAGGAGTTAAACCAAAGTGGATGCCATAAGAGGTGTCCCAGAGGCGTCCCAGGAAGGAGTTGAACCCACCGGGGGGGGGGGGGCCCTACATATGAAGTTTTCACGTGATGCGGCGATCTCGAGGATTCCAGCCCCTCACTTGCTAAAGCAAGGACAACTCCAGCTAGCTGGTGCTAGCTTTCGTGATATCGATGACCTCCAACCTAAGAGCGATGGCCTCCAACCTAAGAGCCATGGCCTCCAACCTAACGGCGATGGCCTTCAACCTAATCAAGAGTGATGGCCTCCAACCTAAGAGCGATGGCCTCCAACCTATGAGCGATGGCCACCAACCTAAGAACGATGGCCACCAACCTAAGAGTGGCCTCCAACCCAAGAGCGACGGCCTCCAACCTAACAGCGATGGCCTCCAAGCTAAGAGCGATGGCCTCCAACCTAAGAGCGATGGCCTCCAACCTAAGAGTGATGGCCTCCAACCTAAGAACGATGGCCTCCAACCTAAGAGCCATGGCCTCCAACCTAAGAGCGATGGCTTCCAACCTAAGAGCGATGGCTTCCAACCTAAGAACGATGGCCTATGGCCTCCAACCTAAGAGCGATTGCCTCCAACCTAAGAGCGATGGCTTCCATCCTAAGA